TCAGCATTTCCTCGTCCGATATGTCGCTGCGTGGGGCCCATTGTTCCGGTAGGTCAGCCCCTCCGACCCAACTCTCCCCAGCATGGCGGGCTAAAGCCGCAGTGGCGGACCAGAGAAACGAGTCGATTTGGGCGGGGGCGGTCCCCCGTCCTGATGGGTTCGGTGACGGTTCCTCACACCTCCTTTGGTCTTGGGTTCGTCGCAGGCTCCTTCATCCCCTTCTCTCTCCCTCTCGCGTGCCTGGTGGTCTCTAGTGTCCGTTCTCCTTGCGAGCTCGTCTCTGCACATGCGTACACAGTTTCGGTGATTTTTAATAGGGAGGCGCGGTGGCTAGTTCTTTGAGGATAGGTCCTTAGGCGTCATTTCGGGGTAGGCTTGCCGGGCGATTAATGTCCAATCTTAGGACATGACTGCGTCCTGTGACTGAGCAGTCTCTGGCCCAGTACTTGTAGGGGCGTCCGATTAGCGCCTCACAGCCCCTCGTGGGTATGGGTGCCTGCGTCATTGTCCCATGCCCTACTGGCGCACACTCACTAGCGCCACGTCCTAGGCCCTATGCTCGGGCGCCTGACATCGTCTGTCGTGATGCCTTGCTGGAGATATTCTGGTTCAGGCCGGAGGCTAATGGTCTGCTGGTGAAACCAGGGAAAGAGCAGTGGCGGAGCCCACGGTACGTGGGTGTGGGATTAACGCCGCCAACCACACAGTCGCAGCTCGCGAAGGCTATACCTGCCTTCGATCCTCGTCGCTTGCACCAGAGACTATGTAAGTGCCTGGGTATCATTCTGGGGACAAGAGGGTTGGGTTTTGAGGGTGTGGGCGATCTCCCATATCCGTCCATCGCCTCTGACTTGCGCGGTGTTCTTCCCTGCTGCTGGTGCTGCTTGTGTGTTGAATAATTTGTTATGGTGGTGTTAGTTACCTCGTGCGCCCTCCACATGAACCCTAGCAGCAGGCTAGCTAGAGTAGAAGTCACTCTCCTCTAGGGCTGTATCCTACTCCCTCCCACCCACCTCCCTTAGGTCCTTTTTTCTTTTTTCTTATTCTTTCTTTTGGTCTTTGTTTTTTTGATATGGAGCCGTCAACAAATGCAGTGGTGCTATCCTTGCTCATTTCTGCACCCTCTGCGTCCATATTTCAATCGATTAGACTCACTGCTCACCACCCCAAGTAGCTGGGACTGACTAATATAACAGGTGTGCTACCACCACTTTGCCCATCTAATGTTTTTGCATTTTTTTAGTATATACGGGTTCACTGTGTTCATCCAGTGATGGTCTCAATCTTCTGACTTCTCCGTGATCCTGCCCTGCCTCCACCCCCCCAATACGGGATTTACATGGCTGTGAGCCACAGTCACCCAGCCTGCCGTAGCCCTATTTTGTTGATACTCTCCCCTGCACTTGACTAGCCCCTCAGCACGCTTATGTGCCAGCTCTTCCCTTCGCTCTTGCTACTGTCCTCTATCGCAGCATCCTTTGAGGACTGAGTCAGCCTGGGACGCCAAGGCTTAAATAGCTTCGGGGGATGGCTGGATGAGTGGCCTTGTCGTGTTTTACTACACCCCCCCCCCCACACCCCCAGAGCTGCTGAGTCACCTTCTCCCTGTTCCTTTACCAGGCCCCGACTCCTTGTCCCTCTCAAGTCCTTGCACCGCCCTTCTTGAAATTGTGGACCGGTCCAATTCCTCTCTGACTGCTCATCAATTCTCCTGCTCCGGCTCAACCCCTTTGCAGGTTTCCCACTTCCTTTGTTGACCCCGCAGTGTCTCTTTGCGTACTCCTTTCTACCTTCCTCAGCCCTTCTTCATGGCTGCCTTCTTGGCTTTGGGGAGCTGAGTCCTTTGTTACTTGTTAGTTGGGCAGTGTGTCGCTTGATCACTCGTGGTTCCGGGGCCCTGGTTGGTGCCCGTTCCCATCCATGGTGGCCCCTTTCCCTCATCGCGACCTGCTCCCGCACCTATGTCTTTATAATATCTTCTTATTTTTATTTGAGATACGGAGTCTCTACTCCATCTGCCCGGGCTGTGTAGCAATTAGCATGAATCTTGGCTTCGCCTGTATTACTCTCCATCTCCTTGTTGTGCAAGTGATTTCATGTCTCAGTCTCCCGAGTAGTCTGGGATTACAGGCATTAGCTCACACACCTGGCTAGTTTTTTGATTGTATTTTTAGTAGAGGATTTGTGTCGTTTCACACGTTTGCCGGCTGACCTCGTGATCCCATGACTTGACCTCAAGGATGATCCACCTGCCTCGGCTTCCCATGAGTTCCAGGATTCTGGTGTGTGAACCACTGTGCCAGCTTTTTTTGTTTTTTTTTGTTTCACCTCTGAGAATCTGGCCTTGTGCACCTCAGAGCTGTGAGTCCAGTGCTACCATCGTGGCTCACTAGCAAACCTCTGCTTTCTGGGTTCAAGCGCATTCTTACTGCCTCATACCTCGCCTATGTACGCTTGGGATACAGTGTGTGCCACCATTGCTATATTTCTTTTGTCTTTTATAGAGATTGTTGCGTTTTGCTATGTTGGCGCAGGCTGGTGCCTCGAACTCTTTTTTGTTTATTTTTTTTTTTATTTTTTTTGAGGCTGTGAGTTTCGCTCTGTTACCCAGAGCTTTGGAGTGTCAACACTGGCGCGATCTCGCTCACCGTCATAACCTCGCGCCTCCGGTTTCGGTCAATTCTCTGTCCTCAGCCGGTCCTGATTTCAGTCTGGATTACAGGCACGTGCCGATCATGCCCCAGCTAATTTTGTATTTTCAGGTACTGAGGACGGGTTTCAACCATTTGACCAGGTTGGTCTTGATCTCTTGAGCCTCGTGATCCACTCCGCCTCATTCTCCCAAAGTGGCTGGATATACAGCTTGACCACCGCGCCTCTGCTTGGTCTCGAACTATTTGACCGTAAGGTGATCCACTTGCCTCATCCTCCAAAGTGCTGGATTATCAGGCTTTGAGCCACTGCTTATCCGTCCCTAGCTTTCTTGGATTCTGACTAACACTAGTAACATCTTCGGTCACTGTGGGTTCCTATGGGAGTATCCGCTGAGTTCCTGGCCTTCTGTGGATCTTGCTTGACGGGGTATGCCCAAGGTCTGATCATGAGGGAGTCTGCCCCATGCTAGGGGATAATGATGTCTGTCACAGTCTCACCCGCCTTATTACGCTCTGCTTGTGGGGTCGTTTCTCCATCCAGTCCACCTTCTCATGACTCTGCTGTGTGTCTCCTCAAGTCTACAGCTCGTGCTCAGCGTTTTGCGCGCTGTGGCGCTGGTGTATTGTGGTGACCCTGACATTCCCACCTAAGGGTCCGCTCTCCAGTGTCGTGGTGTCGATGGTGAGTCACCTGGTGTGACACTCACACTGCCCACTAGCCACCCTCACAGGCTCCAAGGGTGGCAAGCACCAGGCTGTGTCCAGGAGGCTACCAGCACAGGCCGGACAGGCAGCCTTGGACATGCATGACAGACAATGGAAGTGGCCAGCCGGGCGGGAGCCTGAGGCAGCCTCAGCCAGGAATTGGCAGGGGTGGGGGTAGAGAGCAGCCATGGGGCCTCAGCGCTAGTGGCTTTTAGGGGCAGCTGCCGGGATGTGGGCACCCAGGGGGCCATGGCCCAGGAGGCCTGCCCAGAGGCGGGCCCTGTGCTTGGGTGGGGGCAGGGGAGCCCAGGCCCACGGGCGCTGGAGAGAGGAGAGGGAGAGTGAGGACTGCGCGAAGCCTGCTTCTCCTGCTCACATGGGGAATTGCCTGGGCGGGCTGTGCCTAACTCCTGGGAATCAGGTATGTGGCAGGGGGCCTGGCTGGACTGAGGAGGGCAGGCTTGGGCTGTGCCTGGACTCAGCTGCCTTCCCATATTGGAGACTGAGGAGAGCTGGGTGGTGAAGAGCATGGACTCTGAATTTCACGTCCCTGGGCCCAAATGGAGCTGGAGACAACTTTGTGGTCGTCTCTTCCCTCTCAAGACCCCAGTTTTCAGATCTGTTAAATTGGGCCCTGCCCCTAGGAGTGTGTTTCCGGGTAAATGTCACTTCAGGCGTAAATGTAGTTTTTTGTGATGGTGATGTTCTGTTGGGGAGGGGGACACTCGTGCTTCAGGTAGAGGCTGGGGGTTGTGGATGGCTGTAGGCCAGGGCAGGTGGAGGCCTACAGGGGTCTGCCTGTGGGACACTGGCCACCACCCAGAGCTCAGAGCCCAGACACTCCAGTGCAGTGTATTCGCATGTCAGGAGCAGGTAGCAGAGACCCCTTGAGACTCAGATCCTTCCTCCTATCACCCAAGCCTGTGACTGCAAAGTCACAGTCAGGCCTGGGTGGGCTAAGACACAAGTGAGGGGGCCCAGCCAAGAGAAATAAGAGGGCGAGCGCGCTCAGGAATGGACTCGGTGCAGATTTGCCAGAACACAGTGGGAAGACCAGGGAGACTCCCAGTCACCGGACCCCAGGGTGCAGAAAGGGGCTGCTGCGTGTCACTTTTAAACCCTCTTTTGGCCTCCCGGGCCCTCCTGAGCTGCTGCCCTGGCCCAGGGCAGCTCTGGCTGCAGGAGGGATCGGGATCAGGCACACAGCTGAGAGGAGACAGGCAAGGGGGTCGGGGAGGGCTGCCTGGAGGAGGGTGGAGGGCTGTGGCCCTCGTTCTTACCCGTTGGCCCCTTTGTGGGGGGAGTCCCTTGGCCTGGAGACCCTTTTTTCCAACCCCGTCTCCCACCTCAAGACCTGCCTCGGTGCTGCGCATACAGTAGGTTTCCAGTAAATGTTCCTGGGATAGAAGGCAAAGGCGCTGGTACGAAGGCGGCCGTCCAGAGTAGGGGCGAGACAGAGGGGTCCTGGTGGTTGGGGGGCGGTCCCCTGGCCCTGTCCCCTCCCCCCGCACCCCATTGGACGGGCAGGGCGCAGAGGCAGGGGCCTGACCGGGATGGCTGGGACGGGTGGCGGGGGCGGGGGCGGCCGGACGGCGGGCGGCGGGGAAGGGGCGGGCGCGGGGGCGGTGCCGCAGCCGCAGCCCGAGCCGGAGCCCGAGACGACGGGAGCCGAGCGGGAGCCGCCGAGCCAACGCCGGGTGCCCAGCGCCGCCGCAGCCCCCGAGCTCCCCTGCGCCCCTGCCCGCGGGCGGCCGTGTGGGCAGCGGGCGCCATGGCCGCGCCGGAGCCGCTGCGGCCGCGTCTGTGCCGCCTGGTGCGCGGCGAGCAGGGCTACGGCTTCCACCTGCACGGCGAGAAGGGCCGCCGCGGGCAGTTCATCCGGCGCGTGGAGCCCGGTTCGCCCGCCGAGGCCGCCGCGCTGCGCGCTGGAGACCGCCTGGTCGAGGTCAACGGCGTCAACGTGGAGGGCGAGACGCACCACCAGGTGGGGGCCCGACCTCGCTCCCGGTCCGCCCACGCCTCCACGAGCACGTCTCCCTCGGGGGGGCGGGGGTCGCACGGGGCCCGAGGGGGGTCCCGCGGGGAGGACGCGGACGTTGCCGGGAGGCAGTGGCCCGGCGCCTTCCGAGTCCCAGCGCAGGAAGCTCAGCCTTGCACCGGGGTGGGGGTGTATCCTGGCAGGGAGGGACCCGCACTGCGGCTCCTGGCCGTTGGATTCGCTGTTTGGTGGCGTTTTGGCCTGAATGTGCCATGCAGGAGGGTGTCAGGCAGCCTGGGGTCCCTCCAGGAAGGTGGAGACCTGGGTGCTTTTGCCTGGGTGTGTGTGTACACGTGTGCGTGTGAACACAGCTGGGTGTGTGTGTGCAGGTCCCTCTAGGGTCAGCCATGTGTCCACGCGCCTGCCTGTGTGTACGCAGAAGGGAGCCCGCTAAGGGCATCAGTGTGTCTGCACCTGTGGGTGTGCTGGAGTATGCGTGTGAGTATCAGGTCTGCACAGGTTGTGTGTGTGTGTGTGTGTGTACGTGTGTGTACAGGTTTAGACCCTGGTCGTGTGAGAGCTGGACTCTGTGAACGTGAGTGTCCAGGCCTGTGTGTCCTGCACACCTGGCCTGTATGCTTGTCACTGTGTGTCTGCAGGCTGGTGAGTCTGTGTGTCTGTACTCTTGTGTGTCCCAGCCAGGTGTGTCTGGGACAGGTGGGCGTTGGCCATTGGTGGCAATCACATTCCTTAGCTCCAAAGGCACTGCCCCTCCTTAGAGGCTGCTTAGCTTGGCTGGAGACATTGGCTGAAGCCTCCTTCCTCCTGGCCAATGAGAACAGAGCCTTTTCTCTGGGTTCTGACCCCTGAGTCTGTCTGTCTCCCACAGGCCAGGGACTCCCTCTAGACCCTGGTGGGAGTCCAGTGTCCACACACGCTTTGTCCTCCATGTTCCCTGTTCCTCACAGCACCAGCAAATCCTGTCTACATGGCTGGTCCTGGATCCTAGAGATTAGTAGGTTGGGGCCAGGCAAGGTGGTTCACGCTTGTAATACCAGCACTTTGGGAGGTCAAGGAGCGCAGATCATGATTTCAGGAGATGGAGACCATCCTGGCTAACACGGTGAAACTCCGACTCTTCTACAAATACAAAAAATTAGCCAGATGTGGTGGCTCTCGCCTATAGTCCTAGCTACTTGGGAGGCTGAGGCAGAATCGCTTGAACCCAGGAGGCAGAGGTTGCAGTGAGCCGAGATCACTCAGGGACAGAGTGAGACTCTTTCTCAAATAAAAAAAGAGATGAGCAGGTTGGCTCTCAGCTAGGCCTGGAGCTGGTCTCCTGTTTACCCAGTACCTGTCTGTTCCTCTGCAGCTTGCCCCCTGCCTTCCATCCAGAGTGTCTGCTGTGTACGGTTGTTTGCTGAAGAAGGTGGGGATCAGGCTGGGGGCCTGGGCCTGAGGGATTGAAGGTGTGGCTGGCAGGGTGAGGGCCTGGCTGCTGTTTGACAGTCACTGCCGCCCTTGCCCTGGGAACACCTGCTTATCCAAGGTCCCTGGGGTGCTGGTCTCCAGGACTGGACACACAGGTCATGGTGGAACCTCCCCTCTGCCCCAGGAGGGCAAGAGGGGCAGTTACAGCCTCGTTGGACAGGTGAGGAAACATGCCGGTGATTTGGGGTGACTTGTCTAGGACACATAGTCAAGAAGCAGCTGGGCACTGGGTTCCTTTTGCCTCACTCTGTGTCATGGGGAGAGAAGAGGACCAGTGGGAAGATGGGCCTGGCTCGGTCCCTCCTATCTGTTCACCACCCTGCTGAGCCCGGCAGCTGGTGGGGAGCCCTGTCCACCCTCCCACAGGCCGCAAGTGGAAGTGGGGCTGTCCCTCCTCTTCTCCATGGCCCAGTGGGCGCTGCTTTCTCTCTGAGGGTGCATGCTGGCCCCCTGTGTGGTCCAGATACTTCACAGGCACCTGCACACACAGGCTGACAGCCATGCCACAGCTGTCCACAGGTGCACCTGCCCCTCCCCCTCGACGGCTGCACCTCAATCCTGCCTGCTTCCCGGGCTATGTGTGGCTGCCTGAGCCAGGAGCCCAGCTCTTCCCTCTCCGCAGGTCCTGCAGGAATGGGCTCATGGTCATGGTCTGCAGGCAGATGCAAGGCCTGGGGTCAGGGGTTTAGACTCCCACACTGCATGGCAGAGAGTAACAGAAATGGGCATAGATACACCCAAACTGGGGCCCAGGGAGACGCTCGTCTTCCTCGAACCTGGAGGGAAATACAGTCTTTGAAACAGATGGATGCACACGTGCACATGCACAAGACGACCGAAAAGCTGAAGCTCAGCTGGGCACCATCGTTGTCACTTCCTGACAGGACTGCCCAGCTGCTATACCCTGCAGCCCCTTCCTGGCCCCCTCTGGAGAAGACCCAGGGCTAAGAGCAAGGCCCTGGGAGGCTCCTGAGGCCCTGGCAGCCTGGGCTTTAGTGTCCAGAGCCCAGGAGCAGAGGGAGGGAGCCGCTGGAGTCCGGGGGTGGGGGGCGGGGCAGGCAGGCCTCTTGGCGCAGCCACCCACCCATGCAGACCAGCCGCCTGCCCGCATGCCCAGGCCAGCGCAGAGCAGTGCCACTGCCCATTTGCGGGCCGGAGTGCAGGCCACTGACCTGCTCCTGCCACCCATTTGTCCCAGGTGGTGCAAAGGATCAAAGCTATAGAGGGGCAGACCCGGCTGCTGGTGGTGGACCAGGAGACGGATGAGGAGCTGCGCCGGCGGCAGCTGACCTGTACCGAGGAGATGGCCCAGCGAGGGCTCCCGCCCACCCATGACCCCTGGGAGCTGAAGCCGGACTGGGCACACGTGGGTGGCCGCAGCTCTGACGCCAGCAAGAAGGTATGGCGGGCTGGGCCACAGGGACCGCCCTAGCCTCTCCCAAAGTGTCTCTCGATGGCAGTCTTGCCTCTGGTCCCCTCCAGAAGTCTTGGTTTCTTGTGCCTTTTGGGGCGCCTTTTCTGCCCCAGAGACCATCCTGTTGGCTACTGGGGGCCACTCTTTCCATCCTCAGCCTGTGTTCTAAACTGGGAGGAGTCAGAGCATCCTGATCTCTTCCTCTTCTCTGGGACGCTCCAGAGCCACTGCCCTATGGAGGGGTCACTGTGACAAGCCACTAGCTCCCCAACCCCCTGCCTGTTGGCTCAGGAACCCTGGGAAGAGGCATTCCAGGTCTCCGTGTACCCAGCTCTGTGTCTGTGTTGGGAGTCGTCCGTGGCTCTGTCCTTGTCTCTGTCCGAGGCATCTGCATGCTGGGAAGGCCTGAGAGGGGGCCGGCCACCTCTGCAGGCAGCGTCGTGAGGAGGCCACTCCACCAGTCCCCTCGTGGGTGGGGCTGGGAGCAGGGACTGAGCATGGGAGTGGAGTTGGGGGTCCAGGAGGCTCCAGGGTGAGCCCACCCTCCCCCTAGAGGAGGGGGGCCCACGGACCCTGTCTGTTGTTCCTTCTGGAGTCCTGCTGGGCAGCACTTCCTCCTTCCCCTGCACCTGCTCCCAGTCAGGAGACCCAGAAAAGTGAGGCACCGCCTGCTCCATCTCCGGCTAGGTGGCCGCTAGGAGGGGCAGCCTGGTAGGCCTGGGGGCCAAGAGGAACAGCCTGAAGCTGTCTGTCCTGCCTTCCTGGACATCCTGACATCATTTTCATGCTCTCACAGAAATCCCTTCAGGGGATTGAGTCCACGGGTTCCCCAGGCCCTACTTTGAGAACCTCGGTCCTGGGTCGGAGGTGCGAGATCTGGAGTTTCTTGGGGAGCAGGGGATCTGCACATCAACTTTCTCCCTTTCCCAAACATTTCCCCTGGAGCTGGCTGTGCCTGGGAGCTGAGCCCACGGGGCCATCTTGGCAGGGAGAGGGCATTCCCTGTGGGGAGCCCAGCCTGGGCACAGGGCTGGCCATAGGTCCTGTGGGACCTGTTTCGTTCCTGGGGCTTGAGGGCAGGCTATGGCAGTGCTCAGGACCAAGATGCCCAGCCTGGGGTGGGTTGGTGGGGGCTGGCCTTACATGGGAGCTAGCTGGCCCAGGCCCTGGCTCCAGGCCAAGGGTTGGGGCCTCCCTCTTTCCCAGGCACCCTCCCTCCCCCAGGAGGAAGCTCCCCCTCCGCCCCAGGCATTTATCCATTGATTTGGACACAAATGCACCGGTCACCTTCCTGTGGAAAAATCCGGCCCTCGGACTTTATCTGGAGGGTGCGGTGGCTGAGGCACCTTGCCTTGGGTGGGACCTTCCCCCTTTGCTATTTCAGGCTCTGGGGGCTGCAGGAAGCCCTAGGAGGGGCTTCCTCTGGGCGTATTTTTAGAGAAACAAAGGGTGGCCTGAGTGGCAGTCCCCTCTGTGCATGAGTCTGGCTGAGGACAGGGGCCCCAGGAGGTCAGGGGACACCCAAGGAACAAGGTCTCTCCCTCTTTTTTCTGTCATCGAGACCTGAGGTTTCTTTTTTTTTTTTTTTTTTCCCTTGGCTCACTGCAATCTCCTGCATCTGGGTTCAAGTGATTCTCCTGCCTCAGCCTCCTGAGTAGCTGGGATTCCAGGCATGTGCCACCACACCTGGATAATTTTTCCGTTTTTAGTAGAGACGGGGTTTCGCCATGTTGGCCAGGCTGGTCTCGAACTCTTGGGCTCAAGCGATCCGCCCGCCTCGGCCTTCCAAAGTGCTGGGATGACAGGTGTGAGCCACTGTGCCTGGCCCAAGACCTGAGGTTTCTTTACCAGAGCTCCCAGCATGGGCAGGAAGAGCTGGGCCTCATCTGACCTCCACAGATCAGGCTCAGATCCTGCCCTCCTCAGCCTGGGTGCACCTCTCGAGCCTGAGACAGTCAGGGAGCCCAGGAGGGAAGAGCTTACCCTGCGCGGATGGTTCCAGTGGGGGTGTTGGTGGCAAAGAGGCAGAGCCCTGGGGAGGACTGTGTGTAGTTTGGCTTTGGTGCAGGATGGAGAGGGCCCACCCCTGGGTGCCCCCTGGGAGCTAAGGGTGGTTCTCCGTGTCCTCTGTCCTGGCTGGGGATAGGGAGGTGGGCATGGGAGGAACTGATGTGGTTGACCCTCCTTTTGGGGCCATTAAACCCTAGTTAGTGATGACTCAGGCCTGGGCCACACCGGGCTAGGGATGGTCACAGCTGCAGTGCAGCTGATCCTCGTGGTGACAAGGGACAGTTCCCCAAACAGACAGGGCGGCCAGCGGTGCCAGGCTCTGGAGGTGGTGGCAGACCCGGGTCCTTCATCCCCTGCTCCCAGCCCATGTCCCACCCCCATCTGGAGGGCTTTGGGGACGAAGAGCAGGTGAAGGGCAACAGTGGCTGAGAGAGAGTGGGGGTGACAGTTGTATGGGAGGCGGCTGGTGTGGGTGGGACACGATCCCTGTGGGGGCTTCCAGGCTCCCCTAGTTCTTGTTCCTCTGGAACCTCAGCAGCACTGTCCTGTATTCTGGGGCAGGGACTCCTCCCTGTCCCCGCAGCCCTGGGTCCTGGGGCGGGGCAGGGCAGGGCCTTCCAGCAGCTTCCTTCCTTCCTTTCTTGGGACGGAAACCCAGCTGGGTGGGGGGCGCCGGGCTGGAGCCTTTGCAGGGGAGTGGGCTCAGTCATCACCCTGCTCCCCAAAGTGACTCAGCCCCCACGTCCCCACCCACCCCTGGGGAGCCAGGGCCTCTGAGGGAGGTAGATAAGTCGGGTGGGAGCCTCGGTCGGCCAGAGAGCTCAGGCCACCCTGGCTGGACACCCGCTGCCACTGTCTTGCCGTCATGGCACGCTCTGGGAGTGCCACGCCACCTGCTCAGGCTCCAGGAGCCCCTCCACGGAGCCCATCCCAGGGAATGGTACAGGTCAGGTGGGGTGGGAGGAAGGGAGGGCTCAGAGGAACCAGCAGCCGCTCAGCCTCCCAGGGTGGGAGGAGGGGACTCTGGGACCTTGATGTAAGCAAGCCGGCCCCTGAGCAACAATGGAGGCCTTTTTCTGCCAGGGCTGGTGCGTCACCATCTGGGGGGGGGGGGTCCCAGGGTACCCCCATGCCAGCCTCTTTGTCTGGACACAGGCATGGCTGGGGGACCAGGGATGGCCCGGCTCTGCGCTGGCCGCTGGTGGGGAGGGAGTCTGGAGCCCATGGGAGCCAGAGGGCCTGGCGGGAGGTGGCAGGAAGTGTGTGCTGAGCCAGGGCAGCAAGGAGGAATGTGAGCTATGAGCCCCGCCCAAGCTCCTCCGCATTCTGGGCCCCCCTTCCCTGCCCCATGTGCTGCCAGCAGCCCACCCCGGCCCCTACCTTGCAGCCCCTCTACCTGAGGGTTTAGTGCTATGCCTGCCACTGCAGCACCTTGCTGACAATGAGGGTTTAGGCTTGATGATAGGCAGAACTTCTTGCCTTGCGGAGTTAAAAGACACAGAGGGGTGGTCAGAATGACCCCGAGAACATGGAGGGGGCCTTGGCCTGGCCTCAGGGCCCCAGATGCCCCACCAGATCCTGCTTCCTGTCTGGTGCCTTGAGAAACCCTGCCCTGCAGGCCTCTGTGCAGGTGTGGGAAGGGCTGCGGGGCCAGCACTGTGGGGCCGGCCACATGTGTGGGTGGCTATGCGTATTCCCAGGTGCATTTGGACGTCTCGTGTCTCTGACCCTGTGACGTGTGTCTGCAGCCTAGCCCGTGTCACGCTCCCACTTCCCCTCCCGAGTTGGGCTCCTGTCCCCACACCTTCCCTCTGTGCCAGGCCAGCCTCGGGGCTGAGCTCTGATGCATCCCTGAGGGGCACCTCCGTGGGCAGGTGTCAGGGTCAGCCTTAAAGCCCCATGCCTGTGCCACCAGGTGTGTCTGGAGGAAGGGCGGGTTTGTGTGGTGGGGGTCTGGAGATTTTGGGGGTCTTGTACCCTCCAATTCAACCCATGTAGCCCAGCTGAGCCCCTGGGGGGCTGAGGAGCCTCAGCCTGGTCCTTGGAGTTCCTGGTGTGATGGGCTGGGTGACGGCCATGCAGAGAGGCTTCAGAGGGTGGCAGGAGCCTCCACAAGAGGTGTCTGGCAGGCAGGACTGGAGGAGGGTGTTCCAGACCAAGGGCAGGGCCTGAGCCCAGGGGACAGGGCACCGGCCTTTCAGGGAAGGACCCCAGTGTGCCCTTGGTGGGGCATCTCCCACCCGCAATAGCATGGCTGTTCCCAGTCCATTGGGGTTTGGAGTGAGCCTGAAAGTGGGTGGCTGGAGGGGTTGGGGGTATCTGAGGCCTGGAGACCTGCCTTCCTGAGGTCTGAGTGCCCCCCCCTCCACCATGCTAGCCCGGCCCTGGCCTGGCCTGTGGTCCCTCAGGGACACGCAGGGTTAGGAGGTGAGGAAGGGGCCCAGGTGGCCCTCCACCCTGCCTGCACACACTCCCCTGCACACACCCTCAAGCCTGGCACTCCCTGGAAACCTGAGCTGTCACCCGCCTGCTCCAGCCACCGCCATGTTTATCTGAGCACGGGCAGCCGCTGGCCACTGCCACCTCGCCTGCCCCAGCCCAGCCCCTGGTTGCGGGGATCACTGGGCCTGGCCCCTGCCTGCATGGTCCCCTGGCCCAGAGCCCCACTGCAGGATGCCAGAGGTAACATGGGACAGGAACTTGGGATGGGATCGGGGTCCCTCAGGGGACCAGGAGGCGCTCTGTGCCCTGTCCACTCTGAGCTCCGGCCCCAGGCCCTGCTTGCTGGGCCCATGGGGGTGGGGCTGCTCATTTTCCCGGAATGTGAAAGCAAACAGAGCCACCACCGCAGCCAGCCTCACGGAGGACTCTGGAGAGAAAACAAAACTGCTGGCCTAGGAGCGCCCGGGGGACACCCAGGCAGGGCCCTCGGGGACAGCCGCCTAGGAGGCCGATGGTGACAGTTCGTCCCACCTGGTGCTTCCTCCCACCCCGCCTGTGCACCACGCTGGCCTTGAGCCCAGAGAATTCTCCCAGCAACCTGGGAAAGCTGCTGGGCCCATTGGGGAGGCTCCTGGGTTTAGAAACAGGCTTTGTGAAAGTTCCCACAGCTAGAGCTCCATCACAGGCAGCCTGGGCACCCGGAGCATCTGCCTCTGAGACCTGGGCCTGCCTGTGGGGGGGCATGGCACTGAATTTGGGCAGGGGCAGCTCCACCTGAGAGTAGCCTCTCAGGGCAGGAGGCTGGAGCCAAGAGACTGATCCTGTCTCTTGGGCCTGCAGGATGTCAGTGGGCCCCTGAGGGAGCTGCGCCCTCGGCTCTGCCACCTGCGAAAGGGACCTCAGGGCTACGGGTTCAACTTGCACAGTGACAAGTCCCGGCCTGGCCAGTACATCCGCTCTGTGGACCCCGGCTCCCCTGCTGCTCGCTCTGGCCTCCGTGCCCAGGACCGGCTCATTGAGGTACCACCCACCGGGTCTGCAGGGTGCTGGGTACCCCATGCCCGTCCACATCGGGCCCGCTGGGAACCTGAGCTGGTGTGCTTCATGCTGCCTCAGCGGACAGTGGGTGTGATGAATATTTGATGTCACGCCTGGCCACGTGGCGTGGGGGGCTGTCTGGGCCCACTTCGGGGCTGATGTGTGCTGGTGGTGGCAGGTGAATGGGCAGAACGTGGAAGGACTGCGCCATTCCGAGGTCGTGGCCAGCATCAAGGCCCGGGAGGATGAGGCCCGGTTGCTGGTGGTGGACCCGGAGACAGATGAACACTTCAAGCGGCTTCGGGTCACCCCCACCGAGGAGCACGTGGAAGGTGGGCCACGGCCCTGGGGAACAGGGCGGGCACGGTGTGGTGGCTGAGCAGCCACTGACACTCTGTCCCTACCCACAGGTCCTCTGCCAACACCCATCACCAACGGGACCAGCCCTGCCCAGGTGAGTGGACGGGGTGCCATGAGACACGGTGCCTCTGGGGGTACTCAGGCCGACAGAGGCCTCCTTCTCCCTGGAGATCCCTGTCCTTGAGGAGGTGTGGTAGTGACACCCAATTCTGGCCCTGTCACCTCCCTTTAATGCCCCTGTGGATCTAGTCCTGGGTCAGTGCCACACCCAAGCTACGCGGGGCGCCTGGGGTTGGGGCCGCTGCCTTCTGTCCGTCCCCTCCTAGGCAGCACCTGGTCAGGAGGTGGTAAGCTCTCCAGTCTCTGCCTCCTAATGGAGCTGGCGGTGGCCTCACTGCAGGCATTGGTCACACTGGCCATTCCTGTGCCCAGACTCCCTCTGCACCATGAGCCGGCCAGGATACCTGCTTGCTACTGCCGGGTTCCCAGTGCCTGCCCCGCCGCAGCTGGAGTGCACCTGAGGCCCGAGGCCACAGCCGAGTGGAGGAGCACCCACAGCTGTGGGGCGTGTGCGTGTGTGCGTGTGTGTGTGTGTGTGTGTGTGTGTGCAGGTATTGTGTCTGTCTGTGAACCAGCGGCTCCCTGGGTGGGAGCCCTGAAGCCACAACCTGCCCTTGCTTTCCCAGCTCAATGGTGGCTCTGCGTGCTCGTCCCGGAGTGACCTGCCTGGTTCAGACAAGGACACTGAGGTATGGATGTCCTTCTCCACCACTCCTGAGCTTGCACTCGGGGGTGCCAGAGACCTCGGGGTGGTTATCTGTGGAGATGTCAGCCAGGGCATGGGGGTCTGTGCCTCCAGGAAGCCCTTGAGAGCCCACTGCCTCAGCCCCAGCAGGCGGCCTCTGGTGGTTGGTCCCTGGGAGGGGCTACTGTCTGGGGTGTGGGACTAGGGCTCACTCCAGGCACCCCACCCACCATGCCCACCCCAGGATGGCAGTGCCTGGAAGCGAGACCCCTTCCAGGAGAGCGGCCTCCACCTGAGCCCCACAGCGGCCGAGGCCAAGGAGAAGGCTCGAGCTACGAGAGTCAACAAGCGTGCACCACAAATGGACTGGAACCGGAAGCGAGAGATCTTCAGCAACTTCTGAGCCCCTCCCTGCCTGTCTCGGGGCCCTGGGACCCCTCCTGCACGGACCTTGGGCCTCAGCCCGCCCCGAGCTCCCCAAGCCTCAGTGGACTGGAGGGTGATCCTGCCACTGCCCAGAAATCAGCCCCAGCCCCCGTGAGCCCCCATCCTACCCCTGCCCGCTAGGTATTGGGGGCCTGTGGCAGCAAGATAGGGGGAGAGAGAGATCGAGAGATGTGTGTGTGTGTGTGTGTGTGAGAGAGAGAGAGAGAGAGAGAGAGAGAGAGAAAGACAGAGAGAGAGAGACAGAGAGAGAGAGAGAGACAGAGCGGCGGCCGCAGGGTGAGGGCTTTTGCTGCTCTGCCGGGCCTGCTGACTGAAAGGAATTTGTGTTTTTGCTTTTTTTCCAAAAAGATCTCCAGCTCCACACATGTTTCCACTTAATACCAGAGCGCCCCCTCCCCTCCCCCTTGGGACGAACTCTAAATAATTGCAATAAAACCTTTCTCTGCAAACCATTTCCTCCCTAGCCCCCCCACCCCCACCTCCCATCCCCCACCCCCACCCCTGCCAGCCTCAGCAGTGGCTGTCCTGAGTGGGAGTCCCTGAGACTTCTGGTGGCTGAGCTGGGGGCCCCAGCCTATTTGTGGGGACCTTGGGGTAAGGCCAGGGAGGCTGGATGTGGCCATAGGAGTTGCCCACCCTGGTGTGGGGGTCCCTAGGCCAGGCCCTGCTCCCCACCCAGCTACCCTGTATGCCTCTGCCTTGCTGGGGATCTGGAGTGCAGGGCCTGGGCTCTCCGAGGGGCCCAAGGATGGAGGCCCCACGTCCCCACGGAGGGTGGCCTCTCTACAGGCCCTTCATTCCGCATGGCAGCTCCCAGGCCTGGGGGACATAGGTGTGTGACAGTGGCACCCAGGAAGGACTCCAGACCTCTGGCTCAGCCCTGCCCGGCGGGCTCCCTGTGGACATCCTGCTGACTGCTCTTCCCTCCTGGGCCCCACACCCCTGAACTGACTGATCGACCGGCACCGCTGTTGCCTCGTAAGCCATAGCGCATGCGCGCCCTCAGAATAAACAGGCCCTGCCTGGGACTGACATGCCTCTGTCTTTTCTGAGCCTCCTCCTTGCGGGGTGAGAGGAGTGGAGGGATGAGGCTGTTCCAGGGAGCCCCTTCCCAGAGTCTCAGCAGCTGGAAACTGAGTCTGGTTCCTGGGCCCTGCCCTGCATCCATCTGCTCCCCGCCCTGCTGCTGTCCCCCACCGGCCCCCATGGGACCCGCTGCCGTGTGGCTCATCCTGGGCCCGTACCCACCTCTCTATTTGGTGGACTCAGCCTCCCACTTCACCGGCCCTGTGAAGCCATCTGGCCCCACACAACACCCACATGGCCCTTTGCCCAGTTGACTCCATGACCTCTAGCCTTGTACCCTGTGGCTTCCTGCCTGGGTCCCCAGTGTCTCTTTCAAGGCGGGGGAGCTCTGTAAACAGGGAGGTGGGACCCTGGCAGAGGCTGGGCTTTGCGGGCATGCAAGTTCAGGCACTTGTGGTGTCCATGGGAAGCTAGGGGGCCGGTGATGGATAATGAGGGGCCAGGGTCCCAAGCCAGCTGCGCAGGGGCTGCTTCCCTAGCAGACTTCCAGCAGCCGGCTGCAGCTGGCTCTCTCCACTTCCTCCCTCCCCATCCCTGAGTAAATAGCAAAGATTGTCACGTCCCCAGCCGGCCTCCCAGGCGGCCCTGCTTCAGACACGCAAGCACGGGTGTGCACGCACACATGCCTGTACACGATTCCCAGGCCCCCGGCCCCTCCGGGACAGACATCAGCCAGACGCCACCTGCAAACACCCCAAAGCTTTATCCAACAGGTGTGGCTTCCTGCGCAAAGGCACTTCACAGGCGGCAGCCACAGCGGCACCATGGCTGAAGCCACACAGCCCTCAGAGACCCTGGGCGGCTGGGCACAGGGCTTGGTTGAGGCAGCCCTGGCAGCGAGGGTGCACGGGCAGACAGGTCTGCTGGCCAAAGCCCACCAGGAGTCCGTTGATCTCATGCCACAGCTCCCTGTAGGGGAGGGGCTGGGTCAGTGCTGACGGAGGGAGGGCGGGGTGAGCCCTCACCCAGGAAGCCCCCCACATACTCATACCTGGGCAGCCACTCCTCCAGGGCGGCGCGGGTCTCCTCCGGGGACTTGGTTGCCTTCTTGGTCCACCTCAGGCGGTTGGTGATTCTGTGCACGTGCGTGTCCACTGCTGCCAGGAGGCCAAGCGGGGTGAATGGGGGCACACTCCACCAGCCCAGCCTATGCCCCTCCCCACCCAGAGGCAAATCTGCCACCACCCCCGTGGCCCTCCGATTAGAGACTGGAACTGCAAGCCTACACGTGACCATCTCGGCTGCCCCCGAGGTGCTGGGGCAGGGGCTGAGCCCTCTAGTGGGGTGCAGGCCTCCCTCCCATCACCTGAGCCAGCCTTGATGGGGGCTCTGCTTTGGGCTGACCCATTCCCACCAACCCTGGTGCAAGATGGGTGTCTGGGTGGTAGGGTCTCTGCTCTGGGCAGGGCTTAGGGGTGGTGACTCGGCTCTGCTTGAAGCTCTGTTTCCCACAACAACAGTGACAGCTTACTCGGACAAGTGCTTGCTGGGCCCAGACCCTGCCTGAGAGATTGGCCGGCTCAGCGAATCCTCATGAGGTCCCACGGATGCCAAAACCGAGGCCCGGCAGGATCCCGACTCCGAAGCACCTGTCTGCCCTCAGCTTCCCCAGGATCAAGGCCCCGGCCCAGAAAGGGCCCAGCCAGGCTTTCCTCTGTCCATCACTTGTGGCCTGAGGCCCCACCCAGCATAAACACTGGCTCTGGGCACTAGGCTGTGTGGCAACAGCTCTGCCCAGTGGGCTGGCATGAGGTCACTGGCTGCAGAGCCAGCACCTGCCACTGCAGTGGTCAGGGACAGAGCAGGAGCATGGCCCGGCCAGTGGCAGCTTCTATCCCACTGGGTTCTGGCCCCGGTTCCCCTCAGCTGGCCACCCCAGAGGCCTGCTCATCAGGGCTCCATTTTTTTTTTTTTTTTTTTTTTTAGATGGAGTTTCGCTCGTTACCCAGGCTGGAGTGTAATGGCACGATCTCGGCTCACCACAACCTCCGCCTCCTGGGTTCAGGCAATTCTCCTGCCTCAGCCTCCTGAGTAGCTGGGATTACAGGCACACACAACCATGCCTAGCTAATTTTTTGTATTTTTAGTAGAGACGGGGTTTCACCTTGTTGACCAGGATGGTCTCGATCTCTTGACCTCGTGATCCACCCGCCTCGGCCTCCCAAAGTGCTGGGATTACAGGCTTGAGCCACCGCGCCCGGCTCAGGGCTCCCTTTTCCCACCCGGTCGCCCCGGCCAGCTGCAGCCCTAGCCTGGCCTCCTCCTTCAGTGTTTGCCAAAGAGAAAGCCAAGCCCTGCACCAGCTCCTTTGCTCTGCCATCACCTGCCTGGAAAAAGGTGTCCGAGGTTTTGGGGAGACGTCTCCCCCAAGGCTGAGGGGTCCCACCCCTGGGGCTCTGAGCCTGAGTTTCCTCCTCTCTAATGGAAGTGGCCATGCTCCTTAGGAGACTCAAGGCTGAGCAGAGCCACATCACGCTATGTGAGCCTCCTGCATAGCTGGACAGTAAGTGAGGAGGACTCCTTCACCACTTTGTGGCCAGAGCTTAGAGAAGCCAAGTGCCTTGCCCAAAGTCACTCAACGAGGAGGCGCAGAGCTGGGACTGGAGCCAGCACTGTATGGCTTTGGCCTCTTTTATTTTTTTTTTGAGACGGAGTTTCGCTCTTGTTACCCAGGCTGGAGTGCAATGGCGCGATCTCGGCTCACCGCAACCTCCGCCTCCTGGGTTCAGGCAATTCTCCTGCCTCAGCCTCCCGAGTAGCTGGGATTACAGGCACGCACCACCATGCCCAGCTAATTTTTTGTATTTTTAGTAGAGACGGGGTTTCACCATGTTGACCAGGATGGTCTCGATCTCTTGACCTCGTGATCCACCTGCCTCAGCCTCCCAAAGTGCTGGGATTACAGGCTTGAGCCACCGTGCCCGGCCTGGCCTCTTTTTTTTTTTTTTTTTTTTTTTTTTTGAGACGAAGTCTCGCTCTGTCGTCCAGGATGGAGTGCCATGGTGCAATCTGGCCTCTTTTTTTCTTTTTTTTTTGAGATGGAGTCTTGCTCTGTTGCCCAGGCTGGAGGTGCAGTAGCACAACCTCGGCTCACTGCAACCTCCACCGCCTGGGTTCAAGCTATTCTCCTGTCTCTGCCTTCCCAGTAGTTGAAATTACAGGCATGGGCTACCATGCCTGGCTAATTTTTGTATTTTTAGTAGAGATGGGGTTTCACAATGTTGGTCAGGCTGGTCTTGAACTCCGGACCTCAGGTGATCCACCCACCTCAGCCTCCCAAATCGCTGGGATTACAGGCTTGAGCCCTCATACTCAGCCAACTCTGATGTTTTAACTGAGAGTGTTTCTCTTTCTGGGAACCCGTAAGAGGAAGCCCTGGGGTCTTCTGGCAGGTGGTCAGGCCCATAGACACCCAGAGAGGGAGGTATTCCCACTCCTGTGCCCGCTGCTCCCAAAGCCCATTCCCTGCCTAGCTGTGGGCAGGGACCTTCCCCCACAGCCCTGCCCAACCACAATGCGGCACTCCAGGGACAAAGGCAGCTGAGGACAGCCACCCAGATAAGCTCAAGTGTCTGTTGAGAGGCTGGCAGGTGGTGGCGCTGGGAGTCTGGGTGGGAGGAAGCTGTGCCCCGGTGCACCCGGCCTGGCTCTGGCTTTTTCGCCTCACCAGATGGCCCCCTCCCCAGAACCAAGGCCCTCAGCTCCCGGTGGCCCTCTTGCTGCCAGGCAGTGCTGGAAGGCCCCCTGCAGGAGTCCCAAAGGGGCCTGGGATGGGGACACACAGAGGGCAGGGCCAAGCCCTGGTTTCTAGACTGGCTGGATCTGGCTGCATGTGGCCTTAGGAGCCCCAAATCCTCTGGGCAAAGCTCAGGAGGAGGCAGGCGCACCCCAAACCCAGGGGTCTGTCTTCACCTCCCTGCCAAGAAGCCTCAGGTGCCAGGATGAGACCCCGGGACCTAGCGAAAGGATTCAGGGAGGCCCCCTCCCCACCCTCCCTGCCCCGTGCCCCCAGCACCGCCCTCTCAATCCTCCCCCCTCCCCCCCAATGCCTTCCTCCCCGCCACCTACCGAGGTGATACTCTTCCTCTTCCCTCCTCAGCCCTCACCTCCCCACTCTGCCTTCATCTGATTCCAGAACTTCTGGCTCCTGGCCCTCTCTCCCGCCTCCTGGCTTTGCAGATGCTGTTGCTTCTGCCAGGAACACGCTTCCTTCTTTTAGCCTGGCTCACCCAACCTTGCCCTGCAGCTCTGAGTGGCAAGACGACCTCAGGGACCTTCCTAGAGGTCCTGGGCCCACACCAGGCCCCCAGCAGCTCCCTGCACAAACATCAGTGTTTTCACCCCACAAGGGGGGAGTTCCACCCTCCACATCACTCCCCAATACAGCGCAGGTAGGGAGTCTAGCCTGGGGCCTCCCCGAGAGCCCCGCATATGCAGGTGTTCAGCCCCTGTGAGCTCCTGCCCCAGCACCTGTCTCTGAGTGGGGCTGGCCCGGCTCAGCTGTGTGACCTTATGGGCTTTCTGACCTTAAGGGCTGAGTGGAGAATAAGGATGCTGAAGGTGGAAACACAGGTCACCAGGATGTGGGGAATCCCAAGAGCAGCCAGCGGGCCAGAGCTAGCCCAGCCCTCTTGGGGTATGTGCCACTCACCAATGCCCGACACAGTGCCCCAGGCCACAGCCATAGCCAGGTGTGCCATCTTGGGCCCGACGCCGGGCAGTGCCATCAGCTCAGCCACAGAGGCTGGGATGTCCCCGCCGTAGCGCTGCTGCAGGATGGCGCTGGTCTGCTTGATGTACTTGACCTTGCTCTGGAAGATGGGGTGGGTTCAGCCTTAGAGGCAGGGGCATAGCCCGACCTGGTAGCCCCTAGGAGACCCACAGGTGGCCAGAGCTACCTGTCACCTGCCCAGGACATGTGCGAGGTACCTGCTCACACCCTACCCCC